TGAGGTGGTATCTCATTGAGGTTTTGATTTGGATTTCCCAGATGCCAAGTGATGTTGAGCACTTTTTCATGTGTCTCTTGTGTGCCCATTTTCTTAGTTGAAAAGTAGGAATAATAATAATCTTCTCTACCTCAGAGGATCATTGTATTCAGATGATGTAAAATTGTGAATGTCTATGAAATTTGTTGTTACTATAGACAAGTATTAATGAGTGGCTACGTTGTGCAGAAATGTGATCATGGGAGTAGATGATCACAAAACAAGCATCAACCCAAGTCACAGCCCATGAGAGATTTGTCACCTATTTGTTTACATGACAGATACGTGATATAATTAGTGACCGAGACAGTCATCCCCTTGTGCACATATCCAGTAATACATCAGTCTCCCTTCACCTTCCCTCCGTTTCAGCAGGAAACACTGATATAATGAGGCACTAAATTATGGGTAACAGTGAGAAAACAGATGAGTAAGTACTATGTTGAGTTGGGTATTAAGGGAGCCAGTTAATCTTATCTGTCTGCTTCAGAGGTTGTGAGCTAGTTGAGAAATGCACAGGGGTCAGAGAGGGATGAAGAGATCAGTCGCACACAGGGTAGAACTGGCCACTGGAACCCAAGACCAGTTGGGCTTCCTGCTCCATCTCCCATGAATTCCACTCCTGTCTAGACACAGCCCTGGTGAGTTCACCGTGGGGACTGCCGAGGAGAACACACGGGGCCAGTAAGCAGGCTCTCGGGAGAGAGCTAAGAAGGGGCAGCAGAGAACCCGGACCAATGGCTCTCAGGCTCCAGCTGGCTCTCTAGTCATGTTCTTCCTTCTCTCTGGGGAAAGAGCCATGAGGATGGGGCATGGGAAGAGAAGCAGGGTGGTTTCCTCCCAATACCTGTGAGAGGGGAGATCTTCCCATCTTGTGTGCAGAAATGGGGAAGGAGATAAGGAGAATGTCCCCCTCGGAGGGGCTGGTCGTCCAGCATCACAGAGCAAAAGAAGTTAGAGAAGGGAGAAAACCAAAGGGACTGGAGACTCCCAAGGTCATTTCTTAGAGGGTCAGGCTTTGGACATAGCAAAGAGCAAAGGATATGTTAGAGTGCATGGGAAGGATGCAGAAGGGTTTAAATTAGAGGGAGGGAATATTATTCCCCCTGTGTGTTCCCCCATTACACATTACCTGTTACATTCACTGTGGACTTGTATACCTCAGTCTTTTTGGGGGGAATGTGGTTGTGGAAACTTCCAGTGATTCAAAACATAATACATATCTTTCTAGATTAATATTTTCACAATTTTATTTTTTTACCAACTTTTACCTTTTCCTACATTTATTCAGATCTGTGCAATGTCAAAACCCATGTTTTTTCCACTGTTCCATGTAACAGGCTTGCCTTTAAGAAAAAAATGTTAGGGCGCCTGGGTGGCTCAGATGGTTAAGCGTCTGCCTTCGGCTCAGGTCATGATCCTGGAGTCCCGGGATCGAGTCCCGCATCGGGCTCCCTGCTCAGCGGGGAGTCTGCTTCTCCTCCCTCTGACCCTCCTCCCTCTCCTGCTCTCTCTCTCGTTCTCTCTCTCTCAAATAAATAAATAAAATCTTTTAAAAAAAAAAAGAAAAAAATGTTAAATGCATATGGCCTATATTTTTAGTCTTATGTCCAAACATACCTTCCATCTGGGAGGTTTGACATGATGCAGGAGCACAGAAGGAGATGAACAGGCGAGAGGGCTTCACCAATAGCTTATTAATGCATCTCCTCTCTCCCTCCCCCACTAGCCTGAAAGTGACTCAAGGCAAGGATGAGGTTTTCTTCTTCTTTTAACCCTAGCACTGGGCAGGAGGCTGGCACATAGGGACACCTCAGTCAAAATACAAATTGAATGTTATTTAAATGATTCAGCTGAGCTGAATGTCTCTAGAAGAGACTCCCTCCTTATTCCTCTCCTCAGCTGTCTCTCCTGCAGAATAGCGGCTTTCCTGGGCTCTGGCTTAACCCTGGCATCCCAGTGATGGAAAACCAAGTCCATGTGCTGGATCGGGATTTGGCAATTCCCTGGGCCATTAATGGTGAATTTATGCCTCAGAGCTCTCAGGCTCGAACTAACCCAGCAGGACTGACCAAACCCATCCTCCATCCCCCATTAGTAATTTTCAAAAATGGAATACTCTACTCCTCCTAAATTAAGACCTTTGTGAGAGACAATTAAAAATAGAGAAATATAAAAAGAGCGTCAATATCGCGCAAAGAACAAAGTTAAACGTAAATGAGAAAGAATGCAATTGAATACCTCTTAAGAAGGAACTATTCCAAAACTTAAGAAAATAAAAATGCCAAGGGGACATTGCACGTCAGACATAAACAATATAAAATGCAGTTCGCTTAATCCTGATGACAAAATAGGATTAGGGTTATTGAAAGCAATCCCAGCAGCCTCCCTCCTCCCTCCCTTCCTCTTTCCCTCCCTCCCTGCCTTCCTTCATTCCTTCCTTCCTTCCATCTTACCTTCCTTCCCTCCTTCCCTCCTTCTTTTATTTTTATTCTTCCCATCCTTAACTGAAAGTCCGCTATATTCTCAGTTGTCCTAAATTCAGAGAATATAGAGGTAGCAATATTCAAACATGACCTTAGACTGTACCTAGGTAGGCAGAAATGTCAAGTGTTACCGATTCCGTCAGGGGGAGCCTGGCTGGCTCAGTCGGTAGACTATGTGACTCTTGATCTCAGGGATTGAGATGAGACTGAGCCCCACGTTGGGCACAGAGTTTACATTTTTTTTTCCAGTTTTTGTTTTTTGTTTGTTTGTTTGTTTTGTTTTGTTTTTAAAGATTTTATTTATTTATTTGAGAGAGAGAGAATGAGAGACAGAGAGCATGAGAGGGAGGAGGGTCAGAGGGAGAAGCAGACTCCCTGCTGAGCAGGGAGCCCGATGCGGGACTCGATCCCGGGACTCCAGGATCATGACCTGAGCCGAAGGCAGTTGCTTAACCAACTGAGCCACCCAGGCGCCCCAGAGTTTATATTTTTTTAAAAAATGAAAGATTCTGTGATTAGAAGTCGGCAAGACATTCCTGGAGGGCATAAGTGTAGAAGCAAAACTGCTTACCATTTTGAGGAATTTACCATGATTCCAACCTCCTTGTCAATTACCACTTGGTAAGATTACCACTTCCCTCTCCACCATTCTCATCAATGTTTCCCAGAGCACTGGTCACCTACTATGTTCTAAGCACTGCATTCACCAACACTCTTTGGGTTGCAAATGATAAAAACTAAAGCAAACCACCTTAAGTAAAGAGAGAATTTGGTGGCCCATAAATCTGGGAAGGATCTGGAGATAAATCATAAAAATGAAGGAGGGACTTTGGGAACCAGGACCTCGGGGGCTGCCTCTACCTCTCTTTTCTCTGGTTCTCCTTGAATGTTGACTAGCTTCATTCCCTCCAATTGCAGACAGACCAGAATTCTCCATGTGTTAGGGGATATGACCTTTGATAATCTAAGCTTAACAACTCCAGAGGAAAGGATTCTATCTTTTCTTCCAAGATTCATATTTATCAATAGCAAGGACAAACTGGTCAGTTGTAAGTAGGACATGTGACCGCCACCTCATGCCCAGAAGATGGGGATGAGAAAGCTTCCAAGAATGAGAAAGCTTCCAGAGAGGACCAGAACAACAGCCACAGAATCTATGGCAGGCTCTGGACTGGATTCAGACTCTGTTCCTATTATTTTCCCAGAGCAAATATAGAGACTTGTATTTTAATCCCACCAATGATTATTCTTTTTCTATACAACTTTTATTTTTTATTTTATTTTTTTTTAAAGATTTATTTATTTTAGAGAGAGAGCGTGTGAGCAGGAGGAGGGGCAGAAGGAGAAGGAGAGAGAAAAGAGAGAAGCAGACTCCCTGCTAAGCACAGAGCCCAACAGGGGGCTCAATCCCAAGATCCCAAGATCATGACCTGAGCCAAAACCAAGTGTGGCTCAACCGACTGAGCCGCCCAGGTGCCCTTCTACAGCTTTTAAGTTTCCTTCTCCATTGTCATGCATCTCCACACACACCAAGAACATCAGCAGATAATCCATTTGCATCACCTCTGATAGTCTTGGGTTTTGGTTTTCAATTGAAAATGAAGAATCAAATCAATTTCAAGATTAAAATAATATGTTCTATAAATATCATTTATTCTTAGAAGAAATTATTTCCGCTATTTTCATGGTCGTTCTCAGTATATAGTTAAAGAAAATAAATATATATAATAAATAATTATATAACATAAATATAACAAAAAGAAAGACAAGGAACTGGGAGTCTTTCTCCTTAATAGGAAGAGAGTTGGGCCCTCTTGAGCAGTCTAGCCCAGTGACTACAAGGGTCCTGGAAACTTTTTTTTATGTTGTTGACCTGAGCCTAAGGCAGAGACCACCAGCAATCATTTGACCATGGGCTAATGCAGATTTGGGGAAGGAGAAATGAAGTACAGGTATCCTGGGTAACATTTCAGGTAAATTGGACCATGCTGCCCACATTACTTACTCATACCAAGAAGAGTACCAGACGGAACCTGAGAGCCACACCCTGAGTGACCTAATAACTCTGGAACCCCATGGCAAGAGGAAAGGCAAAGCAAGAACCAGCAGGAGCAAAACAATTAGAGAGGAATTTTCGATTAAGTTTGTAGAATGATGTTTAGTTGTACATGTCTTTGTGAGGTGGAAATTTTTTAATTAATCTCAGCAGTCTGGGTGATCATAAGACACATAGTGGTCACATGCAGATGAAAAACTTGTAACACGGGGGCACCTGGATGGCTCAGTCAGTTATGCATCCAACCCTTGATTTTGACTCAGGTCATGATGTCAAGGTCGTGGGACTGAGCCCTGTGCCAGGTGGGGAATCTGGGTGTAGAGCCTGCTTGGGATTCTGTCCTTCTCCCTCTGCCCACCCCAACCCCTGCTCACCCTCTCTTTAAAAAAAAAAGAAACAACTTCTAACACAAATGTGGGTTATAATTGAATCCTTTTATCTGAATGAAAGAGAAAAGAAAGTATGCCCTCCATTGTGGCACTGTGAAGTGTAAGGATATTAATGATCAGAACTAGGGCTTTTATTAGACATGAAATATCAGTGGAATATGATCCCAGCAGGGGTGGTCTTCCCTCCCTTTAAATGCAAATGGAGACTCAACTCAGCATATTCTGGAAGGTACTGAGATAGAGTCAATCCATTCCTATTCAAGCCTACCATTTGTAAACACATCCCGGTTTTAAAAGGATATTTTTTTTAAGCAAAAAATCTGTTGGTCTTCTCATCAAAGACAGACTGAATGTTATTTTATAGGAGAAAACATGTTATTTTATTAAAATAAAGATACACTGTGTTGAAGTCCTACAGGAAATCATAAGTCCTAAATATATATTAATACTCTACTGATCTGGGGGGGAGGTGGGAAATATGAAATGGAATGGCTAAGAAGAAATAGACTCATATATTCCTACTTGTGGGTCCTGGTGCATCTGGCTGTTGTCTCATTCCACCCTGGATCATCATTATCCAGTGAATGCTTTAACTGGGGTTCCCCCATACTCTGCTCCCTTTAACAGGCAGTAAAATATGTCCACAGAAGTCAGCACATGATTGGATCTGGAGACCCCTCTGGAAATTTCCAACTGGACATTGATATTTCAGGGTTAATCTTCACTCATCATCCCTGTTTTAGCCGAGAGCATGTTTTGGCGGCCAAGCTGGCCCAATTATATGACCAGTACCTTGCAAGACACCAGAGAAACAAGGCAAAATTCCTTACTGATAAGGTACACTCTTCCATTCTTACTGTTGATGGGGTTGGTTCTTCTGATGAGCCCAAGCAACAAAAACACCAGCCTGCAACAAATGTTCGTGCACCTCTTACACATGCCCCTCAGCCTACGATGTGTGATAGACTGTTCTCCTTGCAAGCAAACAGAAGGCTCTGACAATGCACATTTCATGTGTGCAAATTCAGTGGCATGTGCTTGGCTTGAAGAGAAAGGTTTGTGCAAATGGTGCAAGTCATCTCACCTCCCAGGGAGCAGGCATTTAATGGAAGATATGTAGCTGTGTCTTGCTTGCATGACCTCAGATGCTGAGACCATTCACGGCCTGAGAATCTCTCTGTCCTTAGAGACATTCTCATCTTTACATGTAATTTGCCGTAACGTGGTACCCAGACACGAGTCAGTTGTTTCCGATGATGCTCAAAGAAATGGCTCTCTGTGTGACACTTACTTCCAATGTGATGCCATCCCATGGGATTTTCTTGAGTAATTTTGACTACGGGCAATTTTAGCCCCACACTCTGACTTTAAAACCTACTGTCCAAATAAGAGATCACTCCACATTACCTCCTTTTGAGTCTATAGGTTTATGATCTATTCACAAAAATATCCCTGTATATCCAGGACCCAGAAAGATCCACTATTAGCCTTGAAAGAGACCTCATTTCTGAGACACACACATAAATGCAACACTTGTCATGATCATCTTAATGATCTGGGCTACAGAACAGGGATGAACATACCTTGTCCTTTATTATTCCTTTTCTTTTTTAAGAACAGAAGAAAGAGTTCTCTGTCAGAGTTCATTGTGGTGAAAGTGTGGGAACAGCGGGATGTTTGAGCACCCATTCACAGCTTTGTTGGCATCATTTTGCCCTGGCGGAGGGGGTGGTTCAAGGCACATAATTTGCTTAGGCGGTAGAGTCTCTAACTCAAAACTTGTATCCATCTTTTTTTAAGCTCCAAGCTCTAAGAAATGCAGTTCAGACAGAACTTAATCCAGCAAAACCTCATAAATCTCTTGATACAACCCAAAAAGCCATCAATGAGTATAAATCTGAAATTCGGTGAGTAAAGTCTGTAATTGTAACTCCTACCTTTTTTGTTCTCGTTAGATGTGTACTTGTTGAAAGCTTTTTTTTTCAATTTTTCCAAATGCACTGAATATATGAGAAATTAAGCCAAATGAAGTAATGAGATATATCCATCTTATTAACATCAAATTTGAAGTCCAAGAAAAGAATGAGGATGTAGGATATTGTAACTTTCTCTGCTGGTGTAAACAAACGTCGCTACAAGCCACCACTTTATTTTTTTTAAGATTTTATTTATTTATTTCACAGAGAGAGGAGTGAGAGAGAGAACACAAGCGGGGGGAGGGAGGGTGGGGAGGGAGAAGCAGGTTCCCCACTGAGCAGGGAGCCCGATTCAGGGCTCGATCCTAGGATCCCGGGACCATGACCTGAGCTGAAGGCAGACACTTAATCGACTGAACCACCCAGGTGCCCCTACAGCCACCACTTTAGAGGGTAGCCTGACCATAGGCTAGCAAAGTGTGGAAAATGCCCATAAGCTGGGACCCAGAAAATTTTGTTTCCCGTGTGTGTACTCTAAGAGCTACATGCACGTGTGCACATGGAAACATGTAGTGTGTAAGGAATTCACAGCATCATTTACAAAAGTAAGGAGCTGGGAATGACCCCATACCAGAATGAACACATCTGGTATAGTCTCTCTCTCTTTTTTTTTTTTAGGATTTTATTTATTTATTTGACAGAGAGAGAGCAGGAACACGAGCAGGGGGAGTGGGAGAGGGAGAAGCAGGCTTCCCGCGGAGCAGGGAGCCCGATGCGGGGCTCGATTCTAGGACCCTGGGATCATGACCTGAGCTGAAGGCAGACGCTTAACGACTGAGCCACCCAGGCGCCCCTATATATTTTATTTTTTAAGGAATCATGTTGCATTTACCATCTCACAACTGGCTTTTCTATGTAAAATACATCTCAGACCTTTTCCTTTTATACTACATCTAGTTCTGCACCATTACTTATTTTTAAAGATTTATTTATTTTAGAGAGTGAACGTGTCCACAGGCAAGTGCCCACGAGCATGGGGAGGGGCAAAGGGAGAGAGAAGCGCAAGCAGACTCCCCCTGAGCGCAAAGCCAAACCCAGACCCGATCCCAAGACCCTGAGATCACGATCTGAGCTGACACTAAGAGTCGGATGCTTAGCCAGCTGCACCAGCCAGGCGCCCCTGTATCATTATTTAAAGGCAACATAGAGATGTTATGTTCCCTGTTGATATTATTCCTATTTTTTATTATAGAAACTGCACTCTAATTGACATTCCTGTGTGCATGAGTATTTCCACAGAATGAATTCTTAGAACAAGAATTTATAAATCAAGGACTTTAAAGATTTTATTTATTTATTTGAGAGAGCGTGAGAGGGGAGACAGTCAGAGAGTGAAGCAGACTCCCCGCTGAGCAGGGAGCCCGATGCGGGACTCGATCCCGGGACTCCAGGATCATGACCCGAGCCGAAGGCAGTCGCTCAACCAACTGAGCCACCCAGGCGCCCAAAAAATCAAGGACTTTAAATGTATACTTTTCTTTTTACAATCTAGCCTTGAGTTGGAAATTCCTCCAGCAAAGTGGAAATTAGTGATGTTGAGATACTGTCACTGTGAAAGTATGAAGAGTATGTTTTAAAAGGAAAATTCTTATTTATGCTTTAAAAAAAAAGCCCACAGTGCAGCCTCCTTGTGCAAATAATTTTTGCTTCAGCAAAAAGCCGTCCTGAATACAGTAGTGGTTTTATAGGGACTCGTATTTATCATCAGTATTTGAAAACTGGCAGAAATGTGTGAGAGATGGACAGACCATGCCGGCGGGGGGCGGTGGGGGGGGGGTGCCCCGCAGACGGCAGACCCAGGGCGGTCTTTCCACTGCCCCTGGAAATGAACACCTCTGTGATCCCGCATTTCTGGCCCAGTAAGAGGGTGGGTTTTAGCCTTTTCCTGATATTTCACTATTGTTAAAACAAATCTAAGCAGATGGCCTGCTCCCGGCTGTCCCCTCATGTGGGCCCCGGCCTGCTGCTGACCAGAGTCCCTGGGAGCCCCCCGCCGGGCATCCGCGGAGTCCGTGGCAGGGTGCCGCTCACCTCAGCCCCCCAGCACGTCAGTCATTCTCCATCTTATTTTCTGTAAATGGCGTCCTGACCGCATCGCTTGTCCCCTGAACTGGAACCGGCTATATAAGGAAGGAAGCATGGGTCTTCATGCAAGATAGGGGAGCACTGTATTTAACTCTCTCTACCGGTTCTTTACCCTCAGCCCTACTCAAACTTGAACAACTAAGACTGTGACTCTAGATCCCCATCTAACTACCACTTTCTCTCTGTATTTTCCTTCACAGCCAAACTTGTGGAAAACACTAGCATTCTTGCTGCTCTAGCCCCTTGCCTCCCCTTCACGGGAACCTCACTCACCCACCCACCTTTCCTTGGAGGCTGGTCTTGCCACAGGCCCGGGCACCTCCGCCTTGCTAAGCCCCTCCTGCTACCTGGCCTCTTGACGGCGAGACGCACTGTCACCGGAGTGGCCTGGTGTGACCTATTTCTTCCCACTCCTGCCCCCATCCTTCCCACCGTCCTTTGTCTACTTATTCTCCTCTGCCCAGATTCCCAGGATGCAAAGTTCCTCACAAGCTTTTTCTTTTTGTTTTCTTTGTTAACCTGCCTTTTCTCCTGAGATCCGAGTCTAGTCCTGTGGTTGGAAGGATCATCCGGAGGCCAGTGGCTCCCAGGGTTTCCCCTCTGGGGTGAAGCCCCCCTTCGACTCTCTGGAACCCCATCTGCACCAGGTTACCTGACTCCCTGAGCAAAACTGCCTTTTCCTTTTCTTCTTTAGCTCAGATGTCAAATTTTTCTTGCTAAGAGTTCTTTTTTAGCATTTCTGAGAAACTGTTTTCTCAGGTACTAAAAAAGGAAATAGAAAATATATCAGAAAGCCTTAAGGTGTCACACAACTCAGTAAAATAATTTTACATTGCAGTTTTTCAAAAGGAGGCAGGGGAGGCAGCTAAAGGCATAAGAGAAGAACAGACCACTTGATACTGACAGCTAGCATTGGTGGACCACTTACCAGATGTCAGGCACCGTTCTAGTAGGAAGTTTACAGATGAGGCATGGAGAAGTTAAGTTGTTAGCCCCAGGCCAGCTAGCAACTGATAGAACCAGGACTGTAGAATCTGATTGCAACATCTGTGCCCTTAGCCACACGCCTTACTGCTTTGCAAGAAGGATGTTTCTTGGGGTGCCTGGGTGGCTCAGTCGGTTAAGCGTCTGCCTTCGGCTCAGGTCATGATCCCAGGGTCCTGGGATCAAGCCCCACATCGGGCTCCCTGCTCGGCGGGAAGCCTGCTTCTCCCTCTCCCACTCCCCCTCCTTGTGTTCCTGCTCTCGCTATCTCTCTCTCTGTCAAATAAATAAATAAAATCTTTAAAAAAAAAGTTTCGTAGGTATCAAATTAAATATACAATCACTATAGCATTATTAGTTTCTTTTTTTAATTGCAAACCCATCTAAATAACTTTTTAATATATAATAATAATAATAATAACATATTCTACCTTCTAGGCAAACAAGAAAATTGCGCGATGCTGAACAAGAAAAAGATCGAACGTTGCTTAAAACGATCATAAAAGTTTGGAAGGAGATGAAATCCCTTCGAGAATTTCAGAGGTTTACGAATACACCCTTGAAACTTGTTTTGAGAAAGTAAGCTTTTTTTCAATAGTTGTTTTATGGGGCTATATCATGCAAAGAGAAAATGCATAAAACATAGATACGGCTTAAAAAATAATTATGAATAAATAATTAACAAGTAATAATAACAACTAAGAAAATGAATAAATGATGATGTAACCACTCCCCAGGTTAAGAAATAGGACATTACCAGTATCTGGGCAGCCCCCATGTTCCTAACCCCAACTACTGCCTCCTCCATCCCAGGAGTAACCATTTTCCAGATTTTTATGATCAGCATTTCCTTGTTTCTCCTTACAGGTTTGCCATCTATGTGTAATCCCTAAGAAAATGTGGTTTAATATTACCTGTATTTGATGTATCCACAAATGAAAGTAGGTTGTCTGTACTCTTTAGTGTATTCTTCACTACCATGTGAGATTCATTTACTTAATATCACATGGCTAGCTAAAGTTATTTACTTTGTTTATAATACTTCATTATATGAATATAACAAATTTGCCCATTTCACTGTTGACAGACATTTGAGTTGATTCTGTTTTTCAGCTTACAGACAGCACTTCTCTAGGGATCCTTATACATGTCTTTTAAGCTACATGCCCCTAAGCTTTCCCAAAATATACCTGGAAGTGAAATTGTTGAGTCTTAGGGGATGGGCTTCTTTGATACTCACATGCCGAATCCAAACACTTTTCCAGAGTGGTTGTGCTGATTTATACTTTAACCAGTGCTCCCATAGATCCCTATCACCCAAACCATCCATGTCACCTGCTATTGTCAGATGTTACACTTTCCTTGGCCTTATATTTCCCATTCATGAATTGGCCATTTTGATTTCCTCTGTCTGTTCAAGGCTTGTGTTGATTTTTGAACTGGACTGTTTGTCTTTGTTTCTTTTTCATAACTGGTAGGAATTTGGCGTATATCCTGGACAGGGGGCCTTTGTTGATGCACTCTCTAGTTGCCTCTTTACTCCCTTTTGCTGCTTTTTGATGACAGAAATTCTTAATTTTTTTTTTGTCACTTTCTCTTTTTTTTT